CTCCTCAGGGCTGCTCTCAATCCATTTTCCATCCAGCCTGTACTTTTGCTTGCAATTGCCCTGACCCATATACAGGACCTTGCACTCAGACTGTTCAAACTTCATGAGGTTCTCATTAGCCCACTTCTCAAGCCTGAAAAGATCTCTCTGGATGGCACCTTTTCCCTCCAGTGTGTCGACTGCACCACACAGCTTGAGTGTCATCAGCAAACTTGTGGAGGGTGTACTCAATCCCACTGTCCATGTTGCCAATGTTAAACAGCACCAGACCCAATACCAACCCCTGAGAAATGCCACTTGTCACTGGTATCCACTTGGACACCAAGCTGTTCAACACAACTCTTTGAGTGCAACCATCCCACCAATTCCTTATCCACTGGGTGGTCCCTCCATCAAATCCATGTGTCTCCAGTTCAGAGACAAGGATGTTGTGCAGGACAGTGTCATATGCTTTGCACAAGTCCAGGTAGACAACATCAGTCACTCTTCCTTTATCCACCCCATCTCAGAAGGCCACCAAATTTGTCAGGCACAGTTTCCAGAAGGATCTGCTGCATAATCTTGCTGGGCACCAAGGTGAGACTGACTGGCCCATCTTCCTTTTTTCCCTTTTTAAATATGGGAATCATGTTTCCCCTTTTCTAGTCGGCAGGAATTTCCCCAGACTGCCACAGCTTCTCAAATATTATTGACAGGGGTTTACCCACCTCATCTGCCAGTTTCCTCAGCACCCACAGATGCATCTCACCAGATCCCATGGACTTGTGCACCTTCATATTCCTTAGATGTTCTCAAACCTGATCTTCTACAGTTCATTCTCCCAGTCCCTGCCTTTGCCTTCTCCAACATGGGCAGTGTGGCTGGAGCTCTTGCCAGTGAAGACTGCGGCAAAAAAGTCATTGAGTACCTTGGCTTTCTCCATGTCCTGGGTAACCAGGTCTCCTGTTTCCTTCCAGAGAAGGTCCACATTTTCCCCAGTCTTCCTTTTATCATCGATGTACTTATAGAAGCTTTTCTTGTTGCCTTCAATGACCCTGGCCAGATTTCATTCTATCAGAGCTTTAGTCTTCCTAACCTGATTCCTGGATGCTCAGACAATTTCTCTGTATTCCTCCCAG